CACACACACACACACACACACACACACAATTAAAATACTCAGGACAGAAGCAATAAACAGGCTGATTTGAAATTATGTCTGTTTATTTATCTGACCTGACCGCTGTGTAAAAACTCTTGACTAAAAAAAGTTCTGACCATGTCTGGACTAACACAGACTTGCAGAGACAGGCAGACAAAAACAGACCTGGCAACCAAAAGAAAACATACTCCTTAATGCACAAATAATGAATTTCACAGAAAATAATTACACTTTTAACCTTGTACCTTAAATACACACAAATCACATTCTTTTCCCATTTTACAAACAACCACACTTGTGGAAATCCAATACCTTCAAACTCCTATAAACATCAAACAGGACAAACACTGAAGCAAAATTAACCAAGACACTTTAGGTTTATTGTGTGTGTGTGTGTGTGTGTGTGTGTGTGTGCAGGGCCAGCCCTAGCATTTTGGGGGCCCTAAGCAGATTTTCAAAAGAGGGGCCCCCCTCATAACCAACCCCTCATCCCCCATCGTATACATCTTACACTGACACTTTATTGTAAAGCAATGTTATTTTAGTATCATTCATGTGCTATTATAGTTTTTGTTAATATATTGAATTATTTTTATATTTTCTGCTGTCATTTTCATTTTAAAGTTTTAGTAATTTTATTCTTTGTTTTTGTTGTTATTAGTTTTGTTGATTTTGTGTATAGTTATTACATGTTATTTCAGTTTTAGTGTTAGTTATTTTAGAACATCAAGATAAACTAAATGAAAATGGGAAATGTTGCCTTGTCAACTAGCTAAAATAAAACAGTATAAGTATTTTATTTCAGTTAACATTTATTTTATTTCAAGTAACATTTTTAAAAAATAGATTTTTTTTTATTTTAGTTAACTATAATAATCCTGTTGTAAAAAAATGACCAAACTGTCTTAATCATCTACTCAGTGTTTATCTTTCAATACATAAATATGAAGATATATTTACTTAAGCACTTTTAACAATTATTTAAAACTTTAAAAAATGTAAAAGCTTAACTATTGCTTTCAGAAAAATGTATGAAAATTTTGTGAGATTAATGCTTTACAGTTTTTCTCAGTCGCTTTGGTGCATTTCTCGAATCATCCTTAATATTTGCAAAGAAGTATGTGCATTTCTCAAAACAATTCGTACAAACAGCACCACACAATGGATTACCTGCAAAAGCCTGTAACTTACTCAAAATCTTTAGTTAATCTCTCAAAAGTAAGTATTTATGTCATATTATGATATTTAATGAACATATCAGTGCCATCAGAATGAAAAGTCCTTGTGTCATTGTTCACAAACAAGATAGTCAAAATGCTTAGTCATGTTGTCAATATAACAGTGCACTCTGTTAGTATTACCTGATGTAAACTATGGCAACAGTTTGGTTTGACAGTTACTGTATTGAAATGCAGAAGGCTGCACTTCTTATGCATGCCATATATCCATTTCAAAAGTACAAATATACACATTACTGTATGTGGGATATTGATTGAAAGAGACTGGATAGGATTCACTGTTACACTTTACTAGCGGTATGACAAAAAAAAACAAAAAACTTTTCAACGTCATTGTGATATAGAAAAGAAATATGGGCACAAAGGCAAACACAGGAAACACCCTTAGGCAGAACTTTGCTTTTGCATGCAGCATTGTATGAGGAATTGCAGTGCAGTCTGTCTACATCTCCTGACGTGCCAGTCTGTCGGCCCACAGATTCTCATCTACATCACAACAATTAGAAACTCCATTGTCAGAATTTGTAACTCTTGTGTTGTCCTCTGTCTATATATGCTTCTCAATTGAAGGTTCATGAGATGCACCTTTGAGCTATTTCAGAGAACTGGTTTATCATTAGCTGATCTACATTTTCTTCATTAGTGAAAGTCAAGATTCCCCTGCACAATTCATGGCAAATTTACACAAAGTCTAATAGAAATGTGTAGAAAATGCTTGAAAGTTTATGGCAACTAGATCAACCATTTTGCATTTAATGACTTATACGATGAATTAATGACTAGATGTTTTGGGGGGTAAAACTGCTGCACAGAGAACTATATAGTACATTTTGAGCAACATGACATTAGCAACTGATAATGCAGGAAACTGCAAACAAATGTACATAATCAATTGCATGAATGTACCAAAGCAATCGCAACTTGTTCAAAAGAATGAGAAACTGCTTTTATGATGTGCACAATTGACTAGATGATGTGGAGGTTGAACAAGTAGTTTTGAGAATTTCATTTCTGATCTGAGAAATGCACCAAAGCGACTGAGAAAAACTGTAATAAAGCAAGAACACCTGGATTATGAAAATTAAAGAGAATAATTTATTATTATTATCAATAATAATACAGAATAATCTATTTTGGGCTGGCATCTGGCATGTTTTATTCCTGATTAAAATGCAAAAATGTAAACAAATGTTTGAATAAAGATATGGTATATTTAAATATTTGTGTTATTTGATAAACACCAAAGTGATTAAAAAATCCGAATGGCTGTTTGAAAACATGTAAATACTATTTGACTTCCTTTGACCTCCGTGACAAACGAACAGGTGTCAGAAGTTGCGCTTGCGCGCTGCTTTGTGTAGAGGGGTAACCATGGTAACGGTGTATTTCTGTTGTTCCTAAAGCGCCACCTGCTGTCAGAGAGTGAACTTGCATTTTTATTCAGCACGTCTGCTGCTTTGTTCACACAGCAAAAGCGCAGCGCAGTGTTGTAAAACTTAACTGGTCGATGGTAAGTAAGATAATATATGCGTTCTAAAAATCTAAACCATTCTGATAATAATTCTGATAAGAATTATTTGCGTATTTTGAAGAGCCCAAGACAACAATACCATTCATGTTCATTACTGTTGTTACACTGGCACAGAGCGTCTTCAAAGCGCTCTCAGCACGATGCAGCAAAAGCCATTTCAACAATATATTTTCAAAATCCATCACTTACCCTTATCTTGCTCACTTTCTTTTCTCTTTTCCCACTTCTCTGCAGTCTGCACCAGTTTTATAGTGCCGCCTCTTCATTTTCAAACATTAACACACGTGACTGAAACTTTATAAAACTATTATCGAGCATTACCGTCTGAACCTGAACCCTGACATGGGGCCCACTGGAGGGCACGGGGCCCTATGCCCTATGCATAAGGTCGGGCCGGCTCTGTGTGTGTGTGTGTGTGTGTGCGTGTGTGAGTGCGTTCCCCCACTGCTGAATAAATACTCCGGCAAATAAAAATCCATTTAGAGAGCTCTAGGAGATTGCCTTTGGACATCACTGCAACATTTGGAAAAGGCCTGGAAAAGTCGTTTATATTATATATAGTTGTTTAATATATATTTATTGGTATTCTTTGTTTGTGAACTTTTGATTTGTTAACCAATAGTCTTTTTTGAGTCAGCTTTTTTCAATGAATTAATTTATTTATTGAACTATTTTACAAATAGGTCTGAGTAATTCATGAGTAAATCAATCTGAATTTGAATGTTTAAAACATTCAGACTGATTCTGCTAATGAAGACTGGTTTGCTAAAAACCTTGAATGACTCTTATGAGCCGGTTCATTTTAGTCAATCAAAACTTACAGCGCGACCAGCGTAGTTCGATTCCCAAATTAATGACTCTTCTGAGTCGGTTCTTTTTAAATGAACCAAAACATACGCCGCCAAACATTCCCGAACGAATCACTCTTATGAGCCAGATATAGCCTACGCTTATACACTTTTCTTGCTGTAATCAATGTTTATTATCGATTTAAATTTTATTTAAAAAGCATAAGGAAGTGAATAAAGGAATTATTACCACTTGTTTAGTGTGTTTATATATATATACATAGACCCCGGCACATAGACTCCAGGGCTCGACATTAACGCTTCATTAACGCCAGACAAGTAACATGATTAAAACATCAGTAACCAAAAATAACTATGTAAACACCAAAACGCAAGTATTATTCTGATTTTATTACATTTAGAGTAAGTGGCTAATAGTGGATATACTGTAGCCTATATAATACATCTATTGACAGTATAAGGTTGCGCTGCTGAGGCGAGGCGAGGCGAGGCTCACCAGGAGAAATCAAAACTCAGCATCCTGAGGTAAACGTTCAAAATGGAAAGTTTTTATATTTAAAATACAGTTAGTTAGGCAACATCACACAACGTTTTCACCATTACGACTGTTTAATAGTTCTATAAACAGTTCAATAAGCAAATACAATAATATTAGGTCACTTATTTTAGGCGGAAACAGCGCATCTCATAGCAATCAGCCGATTCATTGCTGAATGATTCCGTGTTTTGAA